AACCTGAGGGTGGGTGGGGGAGATTTCATCAAAACATTAGTGATGGAGGCATGTGATAGACGGACGGACGAACCTGGGGGTGGGTGGGGGAGATTTCATCAAAACATTAGTTGTTGAGGGGGAGGGGGGGCAGAGAGCTTCATCAGATGATTTTTGGGAAAATAGTGGTCAGAAAATACAGCATCTGATATACAGTCCCGGGTGGGGGAGAACCTTAAAATTATGGAAACATAATAAACTGACCGTCTATCACATTATATTTGGGAAAACAATTGCCATAAATGTACAGCATCTGATATTCGGACCTGGGGTGGGAAAAATCGGACACATATACAGCATGTGATGGAGTGACATTGGGGGTGGGACACAATGTGATCGTCCTTGGGTGGTCTATGATATTTTGGAAAATAATGGATGTACTATATGTATACAGCATCTGATATTCGGACCTGGGAGTGGTGGAAGTTATGGACACATAAATATACAGCATCTGATAGATTGTCATTGGGGAATGGACATAAATATACAGCATTTGAAATTCGGACCTGGGGTTGTGGGAAAATTATAGACACATAAATATACAGCATGTGATGGACTGGCATTGGTAATGGGGGAGGTCTCAATTGACAAGTCTCTATGCAGCATGTGATGGGCAGTCCCGGGTGAGGAGAACCTTAAGTACGTAACAGGCTACAATATGTGATGGACCTTGGGAGGTCTATCAAAATGATGTTTGGCTTATAATTACAATTATATAAAAATATAAAAACCATGAAATATTGCACAAAGGCAAGCACAAGTCATACAAGTATAAAACAGTTAAAAATTGAAGAAAAAATAACTAGAATAATTAAAAACCACATTAAAAGACAGCAAAATTTAGTCAAAAAAAAAAAAAAAAAAAAAGCGAAAAACATCAATAAAAAAAAAAAAAAAACATCAATAAGAAGCAGCATAGTCATTGTTTAGTCTAATGATAGTAGGAACTTGTGAAATTCTATATCTCTCATGTTTACATATTGGCACTTCCAGCAATTGGTATATTCTTAGATTTCTAGTAGGCAAGTGGTAATTAGGTAACAATTCTCTAAAAGTATCGGACTTAAGAAGTTTTTTTACCAAAGTTCAAGGTAAGTACATTTCTTTTGTGTTCTAAAGTAGGCACATTTAAAACATTGCATGCATTGACATAATTATTGTAATCTTTATCCAGAATAATCCTGAATGCCCTTTTCTGTACACGTTCAATAGCATTCCTATTATGATGGGTTAGCGCACCATGCCATACAGGAGCTGCATACTCAAGCACGGGTCTAATATAAGCCTTATAAACACTGATGAGATCAACAGTTCCATGCACGTTTAAGAATGCACAGTGCAAGCAAACTCCTAGAGGCTCTGGCAACAATATCATCAGTATTAATGTCCCACTTCAAATTATTCTGAATAATAACCCCAAGTAGCCTTAAGTGATCATAAACATCTACTGTAGGACTGTACCACTGAGCTCAAATTTTGGAGAAACCATTTCATCCGTTTTAAATTTGAAAAAATGTATCGTCATAATATGGCATTTAGAAGAATTAGGTATCATGCTATTCGACATACACCATTGATTAACATCATTCAAAAGGACCTGCATGGTAGGTTCGGCATTTCTGGCAACCACTTCCCCAAGGGTGAGATCATCGACGTACTTCCATCTCCTACGGCACTCAGTAAGTGCATCATTAATCAACACCAGGAAAAGGGTAGGTCCTAGCAAAGTACCCTGGGGTACTCCACAGCTAATCGGAGTGTAAGGAGATATTGACCCACCAAACCTGGTGCTCATGACACGCCCACCGAGGAAGCTGCAGATGATGGGGACAATCGATGACCTCACCCCCAGATCAATAAGCTTATTGATAACTACGGAATGATCAACACTATCGAAAGCTTTCATAATGTTGATCACGCATAAATTAACAAAAAAACCATTCTTTTCAATGTCTTTAGGAATGGTGTCGATAAGACTAATGAGATAATATGACGTAGAGCTTTGTTTCCTGCTTCCAAATAGCATTTTGTCAAATTTATCATTAATGTCAGAAAGAATCCATTGTAAAATGAAGTACTCAAAAATTTTTGCCAAGGTGGGCGTAAGCGAGATAGGTCTGAGATCATTAATAGCGAGCTAGGGTTCTTAACCTTGGGCACCGGGACAGTAGTAGACCTTTCCACACTTCAGGAAATATTCCTTGCTGCAAAGCTGTATTGAAAATTTCGGTAATAGGCGGGGCTAATTCAGGGGCCTTTAACAAACAAACTGGTGGGTCGTCCGGATGGCCAGCTTTAGATGGTTTGAGATTATCAAGCTTTTTCTTAACCTCCCAAACATGAATAACTGGAGGCGGTCCAGGTGCAGGTAGATACGTAGGCAATTTACACAAGTTAAATGGTGGCAGACCATTGCAGATTGCTGCAAAGTGTTCATTGATTAATGATTCTGGTTTATTAGATTGGGATAAACTTAAAATATTGGGTGATTTACGTTGGTTAAAGCCACACAGACTTTTTATCCCTTTATGCCACTTGGCCGGGTTATTTGATTTAAGATCTTGTTGAAATATTCAATTTTAGCTTTGTAATACCTCTCTGAACGATATTGCGAAGTTTGCGCTACTTGCTGGTTTTTCCATATTTTTTATAAGCTTTTTGTCTAACATCAATCAACTTTCTCACTTTATGTGTCATCCAGGGCTTATCAGCAAGGTGTTTGCGTCTGGTGACGACAGGAAAGTTCTTATTAAACGCATCATTAAGGATTGCGTTAAATAAATTGGTTTTAAAATTTACGTCCCGATATGTAGATAGTGATTCACACCAGTTGTAAGTCGTGATCCATTGACCAAATGATCTAACAGACAAATCTCTATACGGCTGTGATTGAGTAGTGACTATTTTTTTTATTATATACAGTACATTAATCTTTTCCACGGCACTGATTAGAACTGTATTGTGGTCACTTCGACCTATAGGAGCAAGATATTCAGTTCTTTATAAAATTCAGGATAGTTCATAAAAATCTTATCAAGACATGCATTCTTTCTGGTGTTTAAGTTGACTACCTGCGTAAACCCAGCATTGGTGAGTTCAGATGTGTCAAGATTGGTGAAATCGCCCATGAGGACTATGGGTGCTTCCTACAAAGGAACGTACACACCCGCAGGGTTCTGGTTATTATTATTATTATTATTATTATTTTTGTTAATATTATTATTGTTATTATTATTATTATTATTATTATTATTATTATTATTATATGCACATTTATACTCTGTAATGGAGAGGGACAAACATAAAGTGTCTTGGCCAAGGACAAATGCAAATCGCAACACTCAAACCCCCAACTACAAAGCCACAACTGCTGTGCCAACTGCTTCCACGATACATAGTACCGATGTTATGAAACCAAGCTTCAGATAAGAAAAGAATCACCTAACAGTCTAAATTTCATATGAACTTTGTAATATATTTCTACCAATTGGTGTTTTGAAGGTGTTCTGAAGGTTAGCAGAGAGGCAAGGATGAGCAAACTTGGTCTATCAACTGATTCAACATTACCATTGGGTACAGTACCACCACTATTTAGTGCAGTTGCCACTATGGTTGCAACATCATCAAGTCAAGGCACAAAGAATTTGCAGAAGGTAGTGTAGTATAAATATTCAAACAATCGTATTTTTATTTCAGAATTTTCACTTCATGTACGTAAAAAACAAAACAATAGCTTTAAACTATGCTAAACCTAGGAAATTGGCTATCACCATTTAGCTCAAGTTCAAATTAATAAAAGTATTCCACTTGACGATGTTCATACTTTTTAGAAATACTTCATATAAAATCTTTTTAGAATAAAATCATATAAAACCTATTAATGAAACTAAGCCTGTGTCCAAGATACAAATTTAAAAAGGTACCGTAACTTTGAAATAAAATTTGACATAGGTTAACAATTTCCCACACAATTAAATTTGACGAGCGGTACTGGGTAAAGACAACTTTATTTTTTGCTTCAAACAAGTATGCATTCATAGAAGTCTGAAGATAAATAAGCCTATCCTAGTGAACATAAAAGGGTCGGGGACCAGGACATACCTTTGACTTTATATTGACAAAGATAGAAAAATTTTAAATACAGACACAATGTATACATAAATAGGCCTTTAAAAAAAAGTAATAGTTAATGAATGTATGATGTTAGTAATCTGTTAAGGTAAAATATAAAAGAATAATGGAAGTAAGAAGAATAGGAAAGAACCTCAGAGCAGCTGAAATATTTATTTATTTCGGAAATCAAAATTGTATAATTGATTGATAAAGTTATCAGTTCATATACTACAGTAATTTAAAACTTTACATCCCAGTATAAGATCACACAAATCTGGAAATTAAATATGAAATGAAAAACAGATTAAAACTATTCATGATTCAAAGTTTTGTGGGGATTTTTTACAATTACTGTATAAAATTTATTACTAGCCAAATTTAATGAATTAGGGAATTTTATTTTTTATGCATATTATGTTGATTGGCAAAAAAATAAAGTATTTGAAAAAATTTATTCTCAGTTAGAACATTGGTGGAAGGATATCTTGTCTGGCTTTGAGGAGCAGTTAGTCACCATGATTCCTCTGTTGGTCCAACAGTCGCTGTCTAACCATGACACTGCCATCCGCACTACTCCGACTACTGGTACACTTGTGTGTGGTAAGTTTCTGTTGAATCACTTTGTTGTATATAAGTTGTCAGGCCCACCATATTTGACCCTTTCTGACAGAAACAAGTAATATCAACATTTTGTGTTACTTCCTGAAACATGTTAATACCACAATTCCAGGGAAAATGCTGCCACAGAATTAAAAGCTGCATGTACGAAGAAGTGATAGACTGTTTCACAACTAACACCTTGAAAATTAAATCCATTGAGTTTTGGTCTATAATTGATCACTGACTTTTTTCAGGAAATGTTTTTTGACAAAAGTAAGTACAGTATGAGCCCTTGCTTCTCCTTGTCAGATAAGACTATGGTTGAAAGTGGATTTACCTCTATGTTAAATAATGCAACCAAGTAGATATAGTTCTATTTGTAAGAAAGACAAAAACTTCCATAAAATTATACTTACAATTTCTGACAATAAGATGTATTACATCATGTAATTTCTTTTTGTCAGAAAATAATATACAGTAGTTCACTATACCTTATATTTTCTGAAAAAGAGTAGTCAATTGCTTCTTTTTGTGAGAAAAAAAATCTACAACACTATCTTGGTTTCTTTTTTTAATGATCCATACTTTAGCAACTGAAAAACTTATTTTGATCAGAAAGTTTAAGTCTCATTTAAAGAAACAATTTCATGAAAAAATCAATAAAAATTTTGATTGCTTCTTTGTGTCAGCAACTACTGCTCCTCTTGATGACAATCAAACTCATCATCTTTGCTAGCTAAAATCCTGAGGATTACAGACCTATATTGTAGGAGTCAATTCATTCTTCCTCTTGTCCTTTTATCCAATGTATCTTTTTTATCCAATTTGTTGCTCATTTCTCTCATTAACTGTACAAATACACAAGGATTAACGATTATTTTTTTTCTTTCAGAACAACAATATGGATGGTCATCCTGCCCAAGATATGTATCCAAGGTAATATTAATATCTTGAGGTGTTTACATAAACAAATATTATACAAATATTGACTGCTGAAATCTATTGCCCCGAGGTGATGTAGAGACCATAGGGGCAATGGATTTCACTGTTCCCCAAATTTAGAGCAGTCAATATTTGTTTTATATACGGTACCTCATTCATAGATTTTACGAGGCCTAAAAAAGTACTTAATTCCTAGCCTGTTATATTAGAGTATTAGAGGCATACTAGGCTTAGACCTAGGTCTACTACTTACTACTACTACTCGACTAGCTAGGCCTAGGCGATCAAAGAGTGTGTCTAGCTCTTCTTTGCTTATTTTCTAAATTTCAACAGCACCCATCGTCTTGCAATATATTTGTCGAATATTGATAAGACATATTTAATTTGTCTCTCGGTGCTTTTGCTATTGGCTTCATTAAGAAGTAATGCTAAGCCTAGGCTAGTCCACCTATATTTCGAAATGAGCAGTCGCCATATTTATTTATCGTCTACTCGCTGATCCGTGACGCGGTCGGGGGATAATCTCGTCGTAGAAGTCGCAGTCCCCTTTACCGTCAGCAGCACGATGTAGTGTGCCTAGAGTTTGCACATCGCGACGGGTCAAAAAAGTACTATTTTTGAGGGGATTAGTACTTTCTATTGCCCTGATTCTTAACCAATCAGATGCCTAGAATTTATGTATGAGGTATATAATATATTATATCTTGGAGGAAATTCATCAAGTTATCTCATAGGTATGTTGTTATTAGATATTTAAACACAAGTTTTATTGATACGGAGCAGCTTTCTGAAGACTATTTAAAGCCCCATTCCCAGCAAAATTTCACTAAAAACAGATTTTTTTTTTTTAAAAGATGCATATGCATTACTCCAATTATTATAAATCATGGAAAAATATTGGCATACATTTTAGTTTTATGCAAAAGAATAAAAAAAATGAGAAATACAGACTATTTCTCATAGAATATTACCATTTTCTCGACGAATTCTTCATTACTAGGCAAATTCGGAGGTTGTAGATCGCATCCGCTGGAATACTCTCGCTTTTATGTATACTTTATACAGTCAATAAAGTGCGCCCTCTCTAATGGATTAGTTTTTGTACTTCGCATCTCGCACAATGCAGTCGTTCGAGTAGGCCTGAGATATGTTTGTTTAAGTGTCAAAATCTCGGTCAGAATCAGTTTTTTAACAAATTTGAAATAATTCCTATGTAATATTATATTTCACAAGTGTCAATACTAGCAACGGAAAATATCACGTCGGCCATTTTTATGTGTGATAAAAGAACCTAAATCGAGGTAAGGCTAGGCCTAGCCTAGCAGTGTTGGGTAGACTAATGTTTTCAGAGCCTACTATATTTCTTCGCACGACCTATCGCAAAATCAAACATGAAAAATTCATCCGCATTTATTTTTTGTGTGGAACACAAAAAAAAAATCAAATTTCAGTCTTATTTTACATTTTTTTCATGCATAAGAATGTCAAAATTTAGTTAAACTAACAATTCCGTATTATATTTATAAATCTTTATAACATTATACAAAAATTAGATTTTTCTTAACAACTGAAATTTTGCCAGGAATGGGGCTTTAACATAAATATGATTAGCCACACAGACATTCTACAGTTCAATAATGTTTACTTGAATCAGACTTTGCAGTGTATTGAAACTGGTGCGTAGATTTTATGAGCTTTTGTGGGAATTGAACCAGTGACCTTCAGAATGTGGTTCACTAGTTGTCAATGGTTGTCTCCAGTGCAGAACCTCACTACCACTCTCACAAAACATTGTTGTAATTATAATTATCTACTGTAATGTGAAATGTCAGGGATATGACCATGTGTCAAACAAAATGCACAGCAGTGTAATCGAATATTATTCAGGTAATATACTTTTTACGGCATTGTAAAAATATTCCTTTAAATTATACAAAAATTAATGGTCAAGACTTGAAGGAAGCTACTGAAAACAAATATTTACACCAATGTTTTTTCTTTATTTGACTCTCTTTACTACATTGAAGATATGTAATACATTATAAAAACCCAATTATTATGGATGAAAATACTCATTTCACAACTCAACTCATTTATACTGGTTGAGTTAAAACCTTCATTGTGACATCTATCAAGAGACATGATCACACCATCACACACCTACGAATACAACTTGACCGTACCAATACAGACAGACGAGAATAGCTGGTACTGGTTTACCAGGTACAGTAGCTCAAACACAAAGAGACCCTTAGGGGAGAAGCAAGTTAGGCAAGACTTTTTTAATACCTTGTTAATAGCGAACTTAGTTTTTTAGAGATCATCAGAGGGGGAAAAAGTCTCACCTAATACTGTACGAGGTAGTCCAAACCTTGAGCGCTTTGGGACTCCAGTATAAAGCAATGATCAATCCAACTACATTATATACTGTATGATATTGTCAATATGATTAATTAACAGGCATTTAATTA